GACGCCACGCCAAATGGCTTGAGTTTATTGAGACGTTTCCCTACGTAATCAAGTATAAGAAGGGAAAAGAAAACGTCGTCGCAGATGCTTTGTCTCGTAGACATACGTTGCTCTCGGTCATGGAAGCCCGCATGCTAGGCTCCGCACTCATCAAGGAAAACTATGTGACCGATCCAGATTTTAAAACCGTCATTGAGGATTGTAGGCATGGTGCTTCTGGCCCATTTTACCTACATGACGGATATCTATTCCGCGATCGCCGACTTTGCATCCCCGCTGGGTCGATGCGTGACGTGATCATCCACGAGGCCCATGGAGGTGCCCTTGCGGGACATTTCGGAGTAGATAAAACGCTGGCCATCATCCAAGAACATTTCTTTTGGCTGCACCTTAAGCGAGATGTGAGGAAATTTTGTGCTAAATGCATCGAATGCCATCGAGCTAAATCGAAAGTACACCCTCATGGTTTCTACATGCCGTTACCGATCCCGACCCAGCCTTGGGTAGACATTTCGATGGATTTTGTCCTCGGTCTTCCGAAGCTACAACACAAGGACTCCATATTTGTAGTGGTCGATCAGTTTTCGAAGATGGCTCACTTCATACCGTGCGCAACGACGGATGATGCCAAAAACATAGCCAACCTCTTATTTCGTGAGGTTGTGAGGCTGCACGGTATCCCCAAAACAATAGTATCCGATCGAGATTCAAAATTCCTTAGCCATTTTTGGCGGACTCTATGGAAGAAGATCGGTACTAAGCTCGTCTTTTCGACGACGTGTCACCCTCAAACGGATGGTCAAACCGAGGTCGTGAGCCGCACACTATCGACTCTCTTACGAGCAACCATCGGGAAAAACCTCGGCAATTGGGTTGAATGTATTCCCCATATCGAGTTCGCATACAACCGAGCTACGCATTCGGCAACTCGCCACTCCCCGTTTGAAACCGTTTACGGATTCAATCCGATCACACCTTGGACCTTGTAGCATTACCTAGTGACGAATGGGTGAACGTTGAAGGGGATCAAAGGGCGGAGTTCATTAAGGAGCTCCATCGGCGAGTGCGTGACAACATTGCTCGAAAAACCGAACAATACGCCCGCCAAGCCAATAAGGGTAGAAAAGCCGTAACATTTAACGAAGGCGATTGGGTTTGGTTGCATTTCCGCCCGAAGCGCTTTTCCGACAAGAGGAAGTCCAAGTTGGCACCACGCGGAGACGGTCCCTTCAGAGTCATTGAGCGCATCAACGATAACGCATATCGGCTCGAACTTCCTGGTGAGTATACCGTTTCTAATTCCTTTAATGTTAGCAATTGGCCGATAGATCGGTAAAGTATCCCTCTGAGATTTTAGAGGATGTGCCTCTTAAGATAGGGAAATTCTACGTCCCCATCGACTTTGTGGTTCTTGATGAGGACATGGAGCCGGAGCTGGAACCGGAGCAGGAGCACTTGAATGGGAGCACACGGAGCTAGGAGCGAACATGGACCCCTCGGAGCAATCAGCCGAAGACCAGCCCTTGGACGTGTCAAGTGATCAAGACGTTACACGATCACTTGATCCCGCAAAGCTCGACAACGACCATCACGCGAAGGACGCCCCACGAGCATACGTTAGGGCCGAGCCGCCAATCACTCGCGCCAAAACTCGGGCACTTCGCCAACTACTATATGGTATCGTTGATCAAGTCTTGAGCGGGATACGGGACAAAGACGAGGCCGACGCACCCCGACATGGCCTGCATCACGTCTTCACCATCATGGCCGAACCCTACATGCAAAAGGAAGCTTCTTGAGCTGCAAGCAAAGTTCCAACAGCTATATTCTTCCAACCACCACATTAAATGCATGTTAGGCTCCTCTTGTGCATGTTAAGCACAATTAAGACTCCATTCTCTTTCTATATATTTTCAAAATCACTCTTCTAATTTTCAGACTTGTTGTTGAATGAATTTTGCTCTTAAGCTTATCTCTTTCTCGTCTTTGGTGTGTCCAAAACGTGATCCGAGCTCGACGGTGTGTCCGCGGCTGTCCTAGGTTCGGTGTGTCCGACCTTGTCACCTTTCCTTCACTTATCCACTTCGCCATTCCCCTCTTTGATTCGAGTTCGAATTCGAGTGCCGGTGATTGAACTCGGATCCCATCCACCTCCACTTCGACCCTCATACCCAATCCCGAATTCGAGTGCCTCTTGCGAGTGCCGGTGATCGAGATTGGCAGCCTTCCATCCTCTTCCGCGTTGAGCGTGTATCATTTTGGTATCAGAGCCAAGTCGAGCCAACGGACGCATAAACCCGGTGAGATCACTCCTTGATCATTACTTTCGGTTTCACGTGTCTATACTTATCACCGGATACACCTACTGCAACTTCAACTCAGGGACCAGAGGTGATGGTGTCGATGATGATCCTAGTAAGAATAGAGCGCAAGATTTGTTGGTTGGTTGGCAAAACTATAATTAAAAACACTGCAGGTTCGGGGGTTCACCGATGCTACGGATTATCTAAATAGATGTGGTTGGATTGCAGTCTGAGGTCAATTTGGGAAACTCTAGCTTCTATCCTAGAACGCATGCGGTCAGGGATCTATCATTCTCTAACTAACGTTTTCCTATCAGCTTCCACATCTTCAGGTCTACGTTAGAAGCATTAACGTCCGCTATCATAGTTCCTAGGTCGAATTAAGAATTCCTTATCAAGTCCAACCTATGCGTTCGGAATTAATAATTGAACCTATCTTATGAATGAATCCCGGTATTAATTAATCTAAATTCCTTTGCAATTAACTAATCCAAGTTCAATTCTATAGGATGAACAATCCTAAGAAATCATTACGTTCAATTCATAAAATCGGATCTAACTTAGACATACATTCCACCGTTCAAGCGTATTGATAATTCCGTAACATGGCTAGATTCCCTAGCCTACGGCAAGCGAACTACTCACACATCATGGAAGAAAGCAAAATAGATATGGATTCGTACAACATTTCAATAGAAAAAAGGAATAGAAGACTTATAGTATGTAGAATTTAATCTTTGAACAATGAAATGTAGCAATCTCCACTCCAATTCGTCCTCTAAAGTGTTGAAAACCCAAAAATTACAAAGTGTCTCGGAAAATGTGTCAAAAGTCGAACCCTCTCTCGGTTTCCATACGGTCTTTTTATAGAGGTTTTGAAATATCGATGTTAAAAACCTCGATATCGATGTTTTCTAACGTCGATATTCTTCTATGGAACCAAGATCTCGAGGTTTGGAAAGGTCAATATCGACGTTGTGAAAGGTCGATATCTGGACTGCTCAGATCTCGAGGTATGGAACATCGATATCGATGTTTGAAAACGTCTAGATCTGGAAATCTGAAAGTCTGATCTCGAGGTGGCTGGAAAATTCGATATCGAGGTTGAAGAACATCGATATTGATGTTATAAAACGTCGAGATCGATGTTCTAAACCTCGATATTCTTCCTTTTTTACTCCGAAGTTCGTTTCTCGCCCGCGACAAGTCTATAACCTTCCTTAACTCGTACGTGATTGTCCACTTGGTCCAATTAATTTCCAAAAACACCGTTTTAGCTCCGTTTTCGTCTGATTACGCGAATATTCCTGAAATCACATTAAAGAGCAAAATCGATATTGATGTTATAAAACGTCGAGATCGATGTTCTAAACCTCGATATTCTTCCTTTTTTACTCCGAAGTTCGTTTCTCGCCCGCGACAAGTCTATAACCTTCCTTAACTCGTACGTGATTGTCCACTTGGTCCAATTAATTTCCAAAAACACCGTTTTAGCTCCGTTTTCGTCTGATTACGCGAATATTCCTGAAATCACATTAAAGAGCAAAGAAAACAGTATTCGTGCATAAAATGTGGCCTAAATGTTAGATTTGTACAGAAAAGAGGGGTGAAATACAACTAAAACCATAGAAAAATAACGTCAAAAACCAATGTCATCAATATTGTAATCATGAAAGATAATACTCATATTAAGAGGATTGTCATTAGGAGTGGCCATTTCGGATTTCGGTTCGGTTTTTCAGTTCGGTTATTTCGGGTTCGGTTATTTCGGTTATAAAAAATCATACCCAAACGGTTATATAGATTTATTCGGTTCAGTTCGGTTTTTGTATAATAAAATTATAACCAAACGGTTAAATATTTCGGTTTATTCGGTTCGATTTTAGATCGATTCGGTTCGGTTATGATATATTTTTAAAAAAGAATATTAATCATATACAAACTTCAAAATATATATTCAAATAAATCCATAAAATAATTAATCATCCAAAAAAGTTACAAAAAAATCTACAAAAACTTCAATAATTAGGTTAAAAGTTAAAAATATTAAATTTTATGGTTTATTAGGTGAAACACATAAGGTACAAATGAACTACAAAAAAATAACACTAATAATAATAAGGATAAAAATTAAGATATTATAAAAACCCTAATAATCGTTCGGTTAACCGCGGTTATTCTGTTATTAACCAAGCCGAACCGAACCCGAACGGCTATTCAACTTTCTCAATCATACGGTTATTAACCAAATAATCGAACCGAACCGTTTTTATTTGATTCGGTTCGATTATTCAGTTAATAAACGAAATAACCACCCCTATTTATCACCATGATTCATGTAATACGTTTCTTATAAAGATAATCGACAGTTAAGATATTAAGAGTAACATATAGATCAAATGAGAGAATATCTATAACTTTCCATAATGAATAAAATTTCTCATTACTAATTAATGATCAAATATTTATTCAATGTTAGTTGCATAAGGATTAGTGGTTCAATACTTACTCAATGTTAATTGCGTAACAATTAATGGTTCAATATTTATGTTAACGGACTAATAACAGTTTTTTCTAGTGATGAAAAAACTATTAAAAAAATATAAATACGGATTTCTAGACCAAATAACATAAAACAAATACACAACGATTGTGATTGTTATATCTTTAAAGTATTTAAATTTTAACTCAACAATATTCAATGGCTATTGATATATTTTTTATTTAGAATTTATTTTCGCACATATGTATCAAAGTTTTTACTAAAACATCATAATTTAGATGAGTCTAATTATGTTAAACTATCACCATATTCATTATTGTGACGTGCATATTTATCTCATCCACGTTATCGCGCTTTATCGCTCAAATAACGGACAAGCTCATCCACGTGGCGCATATCTGTATCCTTGTTCCCAAACAAGCTCTTCATCTCCTTCACCTTCGCCCTCACTGGCTCATCACTCTCATCCGCCATCGCCGATCGAATCGAGTCAGCCACTGAGTCACAACTGAAGGACCCGTCTCTCTCATCCCTCGGTATCTCAACGCCGAGTCCCTTCCCCTGCAATAGCCTCGCGTTGAGGCCTTGGTCGTTCACCACAGGAAAGAGAATTGGAACTCGTCCGAGTCCTAGCCCTTCGATCACCGAGCTCCAACCGCAGTGAGTCACAAAGCCACCTACTGAGTCGTGACTCAGTATCTTAACCTGTGGAACCCACCCAAAATGGACCAAGCCTCGTCCCTTGACTCGCTCCATGTACCCGTCTGGCAGCTTCGACTCGTTCCTCAGTACCCAAAAGAAAGGCAACGCAGATTTCTCCAACCCAAGAGCCATCTCGCCGAGTTCTTTTCGAGTTACTCTCGCCTCTGTCCCCAGGGCCACATACACCACCGAGTTGACTCGCTGCTCGTCGAGCCACTTCTTTATACCAATCCAAGTGGTGTCTTCGTCGTTGTTCTCGACGAAGACTTCCTCTTCCATCACCAGCGGCAAAAATCCAGTGGGCACCACCGGTTTTCCGTACAGGTCGAGGAGCAGACCGAACCACTCGGGTTCGAACTCGGGACAGCTCCGTACAAGCACCGCGTCGCTCTCTCCGATCGAGTATCCGAATCGGACCGCGTCGGAGACTCCGGTCTCGTCCTCCTCCGTCTTCTCCACATACTTCGTAATCTCATGGATCCGAAACGCGATGTCCGATTCGAACGGGACCCACGTGGGAACCACCGTGAAATCCTCCGGCGAAGTTCTGGAATCTGCTATCAGCTCTTCCGGCGGACCAAAGAAGCACATGGAGGCGGCGTTGAAGATGCTGAAGTACGCCTTGGAGACGCCGATCTCCGCCGCGATTTTAGGAAGCCAATGAGAAGCGTAATCGTAGACAACCCACTCCGGTGAAGATCGCCGGAGAAACTCCGTGACGGGAATTTGGAGGAGATCGAAAGCCGCTTTGAGGCGCTGTTGTGTGTTGTAAGGCACGTCCATGGAGGATTCGGCGTCGAGAGGCAAACCCGAGACAGGAGGAAGAGTGAAGGGAACAAAGGTAATCATGGTGGTAAGATCTGGAGGCAATTTGGGAAGTCTAGAGATATTTCTCGGCGTCGAGACAAAGGAGATTCTGTGGCCTTTACGAGCTAAGAGCTTGGAAAGGCGAAGGAAAGGAAGAAGATGACCCATCGCAAGCCATGGAAACATCACGACGTGCATAGTTTTGATCTCTTCAGTCGCCATGTTCTTTGTTTTTCCTCTTCATCATTTTGATAAACTCACGCTTTTTATAGTAATATGATTCTCTAATAATATGGTATGATATATGAAATAATAATTAAAGGAAAAAGGAAAATCTGATTTTGATTTCATATGATGTAAAGGAAAAAGGAAAATCTGATTTTGATTTCATATGATATAAAGTCGTGATATTTTATTTTACTGCGTCATGATTTCAAATTTGACGGCGGGATGGTGGTTCGGGATTCAATTCAAAATTTTAACCATTTAGTTCGTTTATTTGATATTTTAAAATTTATATCAAATTAATATAGTATATTATTCGATTTTATATTTGTTGAAAATTTAAAAAAATTTCAGTTTTTCTCGATAATTTTATAATATTTGATTCCATTTGTTTCGATTTCCGAAATTTTTTTTCTATAAAAAAATATATCGTTGAAAAATTTTGAATGATACCGTTTTTTAAAATTCTTCGGAACCGAAAGGAAATGTCGACCCTGACACAATGGTGGACCTAACCATAAAGTTTAGAGTCGCGTAGCTTTTACGTGTTTACTCTTGTTTGGATATATTATATCGTATATTGCTGCAAAGTCGTAAAAAAAAAATAAAGTAAAATGTGACTATTTACAATAAGCAAGTTAGTGATGCTATCTATCAGATTTTTATTTCTACATAGGTTTGATTCGAATATTTTTAGAATTTAATTTGAATTAAAAAATATTTATTTTTAAAAATATGGTTAGAACATGAACTTTCTTTGGCCCACTATAAATGGTGCATGGTATTTTGGAGTATGGAAATCTGAATATAAATGTACTTAATTCTACTTATGATCTGAAAATCGATTTAATATAATTTTAAAATTAAAATTAAAAGAATCTAAATTTAAAATAAAAATAATTAAAAAATAGTAGTAGGAACGAAAATTTTATTAGAAAACAATCTTTAAATTAAAATCATTAAAATGAATCCAATTTAAAATACTCTTTTAATAAAAAAAATCTCGAATACTAAGTAACTAAGATAGTCGAACCAAAACTGGATACGTTAACTGTGTCTATTAATATGATCACATAAACACAAATGCAAAATTGCAAAGTATGTTGGAAACAATTAATAATATGAAAACACTCATATGTACCGGTAAAATGATGACTTCGATTTAATCCGAAAATCACATCTTCAATCTATCAAAACATGTATGAAACAGTAGGAAACCGGATATAACTTCAAAAGTAACGAACACTTTCTTAAAAGCGTTATTCTATCCTACTGGATAAATGAGATTATAGAAATCCACTTTTGAAATACAATAAAACCACAATTATTTCGATTTACTCTTTTGATAATCACCAACAAAACATTGTTTAACTGAAAACAAAGTAACCTTTGTGCATAGTCTTCTGCGGAATATGTGTAAGAACACTCAAATGTCTCACAAAGCCATTAGATCTTATCACCAAACCGTGTTTTTCTGTTCTTCCTCGTGTTATATAGCCTTTGGTGTATTTATAAACACCAAAACGTCGAAAAGACATGAAAACTCGGAAGTTTTCGCCGACCGGTCTCGACTTTTTGCTCAAACAGTCACTTAGAAAAAATGGACTGCCCGCCCGTTTGTTAGAGCTATCGCTCGTTTATTCGAGCTTTATCCCTCAGAAAAAATAGGTTGTCTACCCACATTTTCGAGTTGTCCTCTCATTTTTTTCTGAGATCACTTTTCACGTTCTAAACCGAACGTAACCTTTTCCGACGAATCATAACACTTTAAACCAATTCTCGACATATCTTTTATAAGTATTTTACTCCTCCACCATACTCATAATACACGTGCATCATGAATCCAATGAGATATTAAAACCAATCAACCGTTTACTCTAAAATACCAACAATGCGAACAGTCTAGAGAAAAACAAATGTCCCACGACCAAGATGTAAGAGTTAATCCACTAGGTGGTGGTCTAGACAAAGATGATAAAATTAGTCTAAGGTTTTGGTTTCGACTCTATGAGTAGAGAAAAGTGTGCAAATTTTCGTATCCTAAAATTAGTTGGATTGAAAAACGAATGAACCTCTTAATTATTTTAAAAAAGGAGACAGAAGTTAAGACAATAGAATAATCATCTGTACACTATGCGACGACGATGAACAATCACATGAGCATCTATTTCTCCTGCTCCTAGAGCTTGGAGATGTGGCTATAATGGACTAGAAGGATTTGGCGAAACCTACCATAGGACCTGTCCGCTTGCCAACCATGGATAATGAGCATTCCGACAGACAACGAAGATAGAAGGAGCATACTTGGCAGACTCCTTGTTCAGCGAGTTATGGAGGGAGCGAATCAACCGCTTATTCACAAGCAAGACTGTCTCACCGGTAGTACTTAGTATCTGATTAGATCAAGCAATCCGCAGCAAAATCCTACCACTATAGAATGGAGGGAATTCTACAAACAACCTCCTATTGCGAAAATGGTATCTACTTACTCTTCCAAATCATTTTGAGACATATGCAACAATAGACAAATGCTTGAAATGTATTTCTCTTTCTTTTTAGGATTCAGTAACAACTGCTTGTAAAGCTTGGTAGCTTGAATTGTGGATCTTAGATCCTTGTAACTGTACCACCATTTTTAATTAATATATACCCAAATTTCATTAAAAAAAACAATCATTTGAAAGAAATAGGGAAAATGATATTTTCCTACACGAATTTATCAAAATATGTCATTTTTCTACACGAATTTTTAATTTGACAAATATCTACACCCAATTAACAAATTTTCCAAATAACTACATGAATTATCCAATTTAGTGCAATTAACTACACAATCCAAAATTATCCATTAATTGTTGACGTGGAAGACCACGTGGCGGCTGACGTAACATGCCATGTGAGATTTTTTGCCACGTCAGCGCCAATTAAAAACATAAAAAATAAAAATTTCCCTAAAATTTTAAAAATACATATATAATCATATATATATATATTTATATATTTGTATGTATATAACTTTAAATTTTGTATAAATTTAAAAAAAATATATTGTATAAATTTAAATTTTGTACAAATATATATATATATAAATATATTTATATATACACACATACACATATGTAAATATATTTGTATGTATATATATATATGTTTATATTTGTATTTGTATATATATATGAATATACATATATATATATTTATATATTTGTATGTATATAAATTTAAATTTTTATATAAATTTTTTTTAAAAAAATATATTGTATAAATTTAAATTTTATACAAATATATATATACAAATATATTTATATTTTTAATTTTTTTTAATTCGCGCTGACATAGCAAAAAATCCAACGTGGTATGTCACGTCAGCCGCCACATGATCTTCCACATCAGCAATTAATGGATAATTTCGGATTGTATAGTTAATTGCACTAAATTGGATAATCCGTGTAATTATTTGGAAAATTTGTTAATTGGGTGTAGACATTTGTCAAATTAAAAATTCGTGTAGAAAAATGTCACATTTTAATAAATTTGTGTAGGAAAATGTCATTTTACCTAAGAAATATTAACATTATAATAGAAAATATATATATATATATATATATCATGAAAATGGATTCAATGGATGTTGAAGGGATCGAGTGTAATCCATTTTGGATTATTACAATGTGAAAAAGTCAAAATGCAAGTAAGTGACAGGTAGGAGGGATAATAAAATAAACAGCCAATAAAATATTTATCTTGTTCGTCGTTTGTTTGTCTCCTGGGCTTTTCCTTGTCCTTCTAAATTTCTAATTCTCCTCATGAGAGATTTTTTATAAAAATTTCAATTCTACACGCATATAATTTTCTTTTTTATACAAATTTGTTTTTGCTTTAGTTTTATACAAATTGTTTCAGTTTGACCAGAGGATTGCTCTCAGAATCAAACAGATCCGAAAGTTGTTTGTTTTCTTCCTTGAACGAGCCCAGATTCTGAGAAATCATGTGCTTCTCTTCATCGAGGCATGTCGGAGTTTCCTTCTCCGTTGTCTCTCAGTCGTACTTTTCTTTCTCCGACATCGTCCCGAACGAAATATTCTTCGTCACGACCGTCACCTGCGGAGGCGGTTGCTCTGCCTCCTCTCTCTGAGTCCTTGGACGAGACGCATCGTCTCCAAAGATGACTCAATCGCCTTCACGCCGGAAACTGAAGCTTCAGTCTCCATCGGTTGGGCTTCAGTTTTCAATAGGAGAGTCGGATTCCTGCGACGGAAATTGAACGGACGACGGCTGAGATTTTTACGGGAGCTTCGCCTCTCCCCCAATCCCCACCCACAAATTCCTCATCAAAATCCCCCGTCGAAAGAGAAGCACACGAAGAAGAAGAGTAACGGAGATTTTAGGTTCATTTTTTATCAAACAGGTTTGATTATTAAATTATTATTCACTTAAACTGGTTTGTGAAACGTGTCGTATGACGTGGATGCTTATTAGGATTTTTTAACGCTGAATCATCATTGTTTTTCCGGAATTTTTTATACGTTAGACGCCGTCAACGGAAAATGGTTTATTTGGAAAAAAATCAAAAGTTCAGGTATTTATATAAGATTTTTGAAAAGTTCAGGTATTTATTTGGGAATTTTATAGTTTAGGTATTTATCTGGGAGTTTTGTAAAAGTTTAGGTATTAAAATGCGATTATTCCTAAATTTTATTGTATAAATTTAAATTTTATACAAATATATATATACAAATATATTTATATTTTTAATTTTTTTTAATTCGCGCTGACATAGCAAAAAATCCAACGTGGTATGTCACGTCAGCCGCCACATGATCTTCCACATCAGCAATTAATGGATAATTTCGGATTGTATAGTTAATTGCACTAAATTGGATAATCCGTGTAATTATTTGGAAAATTTGTTAATTGGGTGTAGACATTTGTCAAATTAAAAATTCGTGTAGAAAAATGTCACATTTTAATAAATTTGTGTAGGAAAATGTCATTTTACCTAAGAAATATTAACATTATAATAGAAAATATATATATATATATATATATCATGAAAATGGATTCAATGGATGTTGAAGGGATCGAGTGTAATCCATTTTGGATTATTACAATGTGAAAAAGTCAAAATGCAAGTAAGTGACAGGTAGGAGTGGGCATAATATCCGAAAAAACTGAACGATCCGTTATCCGATCTGTATCTGAATCGAAAATTCGGATATCCGGAGTTTACGGATCGGATACGAATATTTATTTTGAAATATTTTTCGGATACGGATTGGACACGGATATCAAATTCGAATTATCCGACATATCCGAGTTGATTCGTACTAATTAATAATATTATTAAATATAAAATAATTTGCTATAAAAATTTAAAATTCTTTATACTTACATATTTTATATGTATATTCAAGAAATATTTTGTATATATTGAGATTTAGAATATTTAATCTTTTGAATATTAAAATTTATTATGTTTAATTTTTGAATTTTGAACTTTCAATATATTTGTATATAATAGATTATGATTATATTTGTAATTGAATTGATTTAATATTTAAATTATGAATTTTAAATTGTGAATAACATTTATATTAAATAACTTATATATTTTCTTTTATATTTAAAATTATTATTTAAATTTAAATTTAATTTTTATAATTTTTTATGTCGGATACGGATGTTCGCAAATATCCGCGATATTTACGGATATCCGAAATTTCGGATATCCGTAAATTACGGATCGGATACAGATAATAAAAACGAGTATTTGTGCGGATCGAGTACGGATACGGATATCTCAAAAATCACGGATATCCGATCCGTGCCCTCCCTAGTGACAGGAATCGAAAAAAAAATAGTATTTTTGAACTAGTTGCTTTGTTATTATTGATTTTAATAATATTTTTGTTAAATGATTCATAGCATTATTATTATTAGAAAAAAAATATCTGAAAGTTTCTGAATTTGGAATTTGGCGTAATATTAATTTTTTTAACTTGTAGGTGTCTATTTATTTCCAAACTTGTATTTTAGAATACAATAATTTCTAAACTTGTATTTTTAAACACAATAATTCTTAAACTTGCATTTTTGAACACAATAATTCCTAAATTTTACTTGAGTCAATTAGTAGTATGGACGATTTTGGAACTGTTAAGTAAATTTAGGAATTACTGTATTCAAAATTACAAATTCAGAAATAAATAGTCACCCTTACAAGTTAATGAATTAATATTATACCAAATTAAAAATTTAGAAATTTTTATGTATTTTCCTCTTATTATTATTATTATTATTATTATTTTGTATTATTATTTATTTTTTGTTAAATATAGAAAAAATCCGAAATGCTGTCTGAATCAGCCCGAAATCCAAAATCCTATAGAATCAAACTCCAAACTATGGATCATAGATCCAAAAAATAAATAGAGAGACCGATTTGATCCAAAAAAATCTAAAGAATTCGACACGAAATCCACTCGACTCGACCATTTTGCGCGTGCGCGTGAATTAGTCTTTATTGGGCCAATAGAGGCCAAGTGAGATGGGCCTAATAAATATTATCGTAGTGGCAATATTGTAAAAACAATCACCATGTTATAAAGTTCTCTCGTGCGTTACCCTCTGTTGTCTTCTGCACGACGTCTCTCTCCCACTCTCCAAGCTTCCTACGTTTTGTGCTCACGCGCCAAGTCTCTCTCTCTCTCATTTCTGGAATCGAAGAAATCAATCTCCTCGAGGAAAGTTTTCCTCTTTCGCATCGGAATTGGGGATTAGGGTTAGGGTTTTCCCCCCTTTTGTGATATCGTTTTTGTTCGATCAATGTGAACAAATCCAATTGGTGTACTGCTCTTCGATGTACGGTCCTCATCAACAGGCGGTGAACATCGCCAATCAAATGGGTTCCGCTGGTGATGCTGGCGCCGCCAGGGAAGACGATGGCTCCGCCGTGAGGTCTGGTCACATCGCCTACGATGACGGTGTCTCCATGGACGAAATCCCGCACCATGACTCTGTGTTTGTTCACGGTGGTGTCTCTGAGCTGGTTCCCCGTGGCTCTGAATTGGTTCCTCACCGCTCTGAAGGATCTGATTTGATGGTTTCCCGAGAATTGGAGGAGCCGAATCAGCTCACGCTCTCGTTTCGTGGCCAGGTTTACGTTTTCGACGCTGTTGGTCCCGATAAGGTATTTGGCTTTATACATTCATGTTTTGTGGTCGAATTATATGAGAAGTAAGGAACTTTTGGTTAGCGAGAAAGAAGTTGGGATGATGACATTTGGATATATGTGAAGCAGAAGCGAACGCAGAAGCGAACGTATGACGAGTTTTAGGAATTTGTAGCATGCTCTTTGGATTGATGATTGTATGGAATTCGTCATACAGTTTTGGGTTTGAATTAGATTAGAAACATTGATCTTCAACAATAGCATGGTAGGATTTTTTGTGATTCATCGGATTCTGATTCAAAGCTTGAATTCTTAGGTCGATGCCGTCTTATCGTTATTGGGTGGGTGTCCGGAGGTGTCCCCAGGGCTGCAGGGCATGGAGTTACCTCAGCAGAATTCGGTAATTTCTTATCAGTATAATTCTGGTGTCTTTGCTTAGTGTACTGAAGGTTATTGTGGTTTTTGGTTTCCAATAGATGTCGGTACTTGTTTTGCCTGCAGCCTACTTTTGACTATCAAAACCGCTGTAGCCTTCCGCAACGGGCACAATCCTTGGATAGATTCCGGAAGAAGAGGGATGCAAGATGTTTTCAGAAGAAAGTAAGATACGGTGTCCGCCAGGAAGTTGCCTTAAGGTCAGTGGAAATTGTATGCTTTGATTCAGTTTATGTGTTACGTTGTCATTCAAGAATCAAGATCAGTCTGTTTTATAGCATTTGAATTTCCTGTTAGATTTCTAGTTCAAAGGTTTGCAGCGGAAACCCCGAAAACCTTTGTGTGGTAATGCCATATGCATGCTAAAGTTTTACTGTCCACTATAATTCATATGGTAGTTGCCTTGTTGGTTACTCCTTTTGAAGAGGCCGGAGATATTGCTTTCACTTTTCTATGGCCAAGAGTGAAAATTTCCTATTAAACTAGCATCTTTGTTTTGGGTATGGTATGTGGAAGAACTTATTATCCCGAGTCACTGCATATTCAGCTCTACCCCATTCTCATTTATCTACATTGAATATCTTGGTTGTTTTCTTATATCTATTTATACGGTTCCACAACCACATGGGCTCGGTGGTTTACATGTGGAGAACTTCATTTTCCGGGGTGTCTTTTATTGTATCCTATCATGTTTGTAATGGAGTAGATAGATCTGACGTAATCTTTGTAACCAGTAAGTTTAAATACATTTGTGTTTCATGTGCAAGATTAGATTTTTCCCACAAGTTTTATATTTGTATGCCCTTTTCGCTCATCTACCAGAATGTCGCGTAATAAAGGCCAGTTTACCTCCTCTAAGAAGCCTGATAGCGCCTATAACTCGGGCACCGATCAAGAATCTACACAAGACGATGGCCATCCAGAAATATCGTGCGTGTTCTGTATTAACTGATGCATTTCGTATTTAACAAACTAATATGCAATGATTTTATAATAAAGTTATAAACATTGTCTATATTACGTAGGTGTACGCACTGTAGCATCAGTTCCAAGTGCACACCAATGATGCGGCGTGGTCCGTCTGGCCCTCGGACTCTCTGCAATGCCTGTGGACTCTTTTGGTCCAACAAGGTTTTTATGTTTTCTATACTACTTGAAATGGATTACCCTTTATTTTTCTCACGTTGTTTATATATTTAACTATTTTACTTTCTTTTTCTTGTTATTTAAATAATTTTTAAACCTGCATGGGTGGAGAGGATTGTGCATTTGATTTTGAGAGAGGTTGCATGTTAAGAGTTGATTGCGAGTAGTATCCAATTCTTTTACGTAAAAAGACGATACGTTCAGGACGCGTGATTGGACCTGAGATGTGATGATACTGTTGTAGGTAACGTATTTAACGTTAAATGTCGTGAAATTCTACAGGGTACATTGAGGGATCTGTCCAAGAAAATCGAGGATAATCAATTGCCGACGCCAAAACAGGTAAGCCTAGTAAATTTTGTTCACACTGGCTTCTGGTGAAGAAAGGTTTTTTTTTTTCTCTTTTTTTTTCTAAAAAATGCTTAATGTAGGGCGAGGGTGAAGCCGAGGCCGATAATTCAAATACCGAAATTGCTATGGTTCACGGACACAACACCTTGGTTTCTGTCGCTAGTCGGGATAATTCTAGTTTTTAAGGCGATCATTAAATGTTGTTACAAAGAATCGAAAAGATTCGAGAACAAGAAAAGAAAGAAAGAACCATCCTATACTTGTAGAAGCAGATGGGTAATCATCAGAGCTTTTCTTCTCTTCTCCCCCTCTATATGTATATAGATACCATGTTGATACATACACTAATAAAAAATATCAGATCAGATGCCTTTCATTTCAGGTTCGGTGTTCTGACGTGCTAACAAGCATGTTTGTGTCTCGATGTTTTTGTTTTCGCTTCCCATTGTTAGGCTTTGTCAACCCTCTTTGACTAACAGTGGCAGATATAGGCATGGATCGGATACTCGAATATCCGGTATATCTAATTTTGGTCTAGCCTTCTCGGTTTCTTCGGTCTGATTATCTGGTCTCAGTCCGGCCTCGTGAGGGTGGAGCATCTAAAATTTGGGTATTGTGAGGTGTGGCAAGGTTTTGGATGCCTGCCTACCGATATCTAGCCAATGAGGGCAAGTGCGGGAGAGCGGAAGGTAGAGGTGGTCATTTCGGTTATTAACCGAATAACCAAACCGAACCGAACCGAATAAGAGCGGAGCGGTTATTTACTTAATAACCAAGCGGTTGAGGAAGTTAAATAACCGTTCGTATTCGGTTCGGTTCGGTTAATAACCGAATAACCGTGGATAACCGAACGGTTATTAGAGTTTTTATAATATTTTAATTTTTATCCTTATTATTATTAGTGTTATTTTTTTTGTAGTAAATTTGTACTTTATATGTTTTACTTGATAAACCATAAAATTTAATATTTTAACTTTTAACCTAATTATTGAATTTTTTGTAGATTTTTGTAACTTTTTTGGAAGATTAATTATTTTATGGATTTATTTAGATAGATATTTTGAAATTTGTATAGGATTAATATTCTTTTTTTTAATATATCATAGCCGAACCAAACCAAATAAACCGAAAAATTTAACCGTTTGGTTATAATTTTATTATGCAAAAATCGGACCGAACCGAAACCGAACCAAACCGAACCGAATAAATCTATATAACCGTTTGGGTATGATTTTTTATAACCGAAATAAGTGAACCCGAAATAACCGAACCGAAAACCGAACCGAAACCCGAAATGACCAGCTCTAGCGGAGGGGAAGAAGGTAGAGCTAGGGGTTGCCATTTCGGATTTCGGTTCGGTTCGGTTATTTCGGATTCAGTTATTTCGATTATAAAAAAATCATACCCAAATAATTATATAGATTTAATCGGTTCGGTTCAGGTTCGGGTTCGGTTCGATTCGGATCGGTTTTTGCATAATAAAATTATAACCAAATGGTTAAATTTTTCGGTTTATTCGATTCGGTTTTAGATCGGTTCAGTTCGGTTATATAACATATTTTTAAAAAAAGAATATTAATCCTACACAAACTTCAAAATATCTATCCATATAAATCCACAAAATGATTAATTCTCTAAAAAATTACAAAAAAATATACAAAAAGTCCAATAACTAGGTTAAAAGTTAAAAATATTAAATTTTATAGTTTATTGGGTGAAACCCATAAGGGTAAAATTGAATTACAAAAAAAAATAACACTAATAATAATAGAGGTAAAAGTTAAAACATTTAAAAAATCTAATAACCGTGAGCTTAACCACGGTTATTCGGGTATTAACCGAACCGAACACCACAATTAAATTGTGCACCTCCTTTTCAACTGTTGTTCGAATATAAAACGTGAAACAAAGACATCATTTACCTTTCTCAATTAGTTATACCACTCGACCACCATGTTCTACCAAAATTTTGGATATTTGAAATTAAAGTCGGGTGAATACTTTTGTCCGCTGTGCGCATGGGAACTCCTTTTTGTATAATCAATTTTTTGTAAAACTCTAATTGATCGGGAAGTAATGCAAGCATATCTTATAAAAAAAAGTCCGGTGAATACTCGTAATTTTGGGTGTTGTGCGGTGGGCGATTTGACCTTGGTGGGAGTGTGCTAAAATAATGCTATCAATCTTACAAACCTTCGAATGGGATCGCTAGTGATCTTTCAAATATTTCATGTGCTCTTGGACTTGGGTGGGATCGAGTTGAGGGCATTAGAATCTTTATTAACTTAAAAAAACTTTTATATAAATACGAAATTTCAAACTTTTACCAAAATATATTTTGTTTTTAGATATTGTCATAAACACGAATCTATTTTAAAATGGTTAAACACCACATGTTCAGTGACATATCATTCCTATCACGTGACAAAAAAAATTCAATTTTGTAAATTTTCGTATGTGGATGGTGGAAACTCAATTTATATAATTTCGTGTGCTTTGTGGCGTTAATTGGATTTCGGCGTGGATTAAACTAAAATATATTATTAGTGGGGATAGTGGAAACCATTTTGTTTGGTTTTTTTATTTGTCGGGAACACCGAGTATTACAAGTATTTAGCTCCACTTATGTAAACAAGATTAAATGATGGGCAAGCATTTGGAAACACAAAAGCGATATTTTTTTTAATATACTAAATATAAAATATTGTTAAAGCAAGGAAATAGTATATTCAGCATCTAGAAGATTCAAATCAACAAATGGAAATATGGAGCTGAATCTGGAAAGCACAAAAGGAAAGAAGCAACAAAAGGAAAGAAGACATTTACATCAATCAAGAAAAGGCAAGGCATATATTCGGATGATATTGAGAGAATCACTTGGAGAAGTCTATATATACCGAAGACCCCATTACAGAAGGGTTGTCGAGATTATTGCTATTGAGAAGCAGAGTCTGTGACCTGGGTGAGAGTCACATGTACGGGAAACACTGGTGAGAGATATCTGAGAGAACGTGAGGTAGATCTGAGGGGGAGCCTTAAGCAACAGGCGAACCGCTCACTAGCCTAGACGAGGTCTAGGGTAACACGTGGTGTGCGCTGCACACAAAGTGTTTGTGGCTGATAGAATTTCTTGTGATACTGGGGTTTTACTCAGGGGGAGTGAAACTGGGTGGGTTGAGTGCTACTTGGAAAGGATTGAAGTGTACTTGACACGTATCAAAGAAATAGAATCAGTTTGGGAATTTTTTGATTTGCAATATCGTGTGAGAGTGCTTTTTCAATTGGTATCAGAGCAGATCACTGATCGTAGGAAATGTTTCCTCTCATATCAGTGTAAGATTCAGATTCACACGATGGAAGGTTTCAAGAAGTTTCAATCGCTCGGGAACACTACTATGCTCGACTCAACCAACTATGGGCATTGGAAAGTCAAGATCAGTTCTTATATTCGTGGGCTTGATGAAGATACTTGGAGTGCAGTTACGGACGGATGGACTCGACCGACTGATATTATCGATGGAATTGCCAAAGTGAAACCAAAGAGCCAATGGACAAATCAAGAAAAGCGGGATTCTGCCTTGAACCAGAAAGCGCTATCTATCATTTTCAGCAGTGTTTGTCATGAAGAGTTTGAACAAATTCAAGGATGTGAAACTGCCAAGGATGCATGGGATACTTTGGAGCTTATACATGAAGGAACATCCAAAGTGAAAAGAAACAGATTGGATATGATAGATCTCCAATTTGAGCGTCTGAGAATGGAAGATGATGAGAGTGTTAAAGAGTTCTGTGGGAAGTTGAGTGCCTTGTCGAATGAGGCGAGTATACTTGGAAGGAGAATCAGCAATGACAAACTTGTGAAGAAGCTCTTGAACAGTCTACCAGCAAAATATCATTCTCAGATCTTGGTGTTTGAAGGAGTAAACAATCTAGAGACCGTCACATTCAAGGAAGCTGTAGGTACTTTCGCTGCCCATGAATTGAGGCTACAATTGATGAATGGAGGGTCATTTGTTCAACAGAAAAAGGGACAAGGTATCGCTCTTCATGTTCCTGAAACAAGAGAGACCGAGTTAGAGAGTAGAAAACCGGTGAAGAATAAGAAATAGTCTGAAGAAGAGTTGCATGATGAGATGGCTTCTGTCATTAAGAAGTTCAACAAGTTCTTCAAGGGAAAGAATAAATTTGGACAGCAAAGTAACAAAGATTCAGGAAAATGCTTGGAATGTAGGGGTGCAGGACACTGGAAGGCTGAATGTCCGAGCATTGCAAGGATGGAAAGCGTGCTGAAAAATCTCAAGGAAACTCAATGCTTTGAATGCAAGGGTTTTGGGCACACAAAGAGGGAATGCATAAAACAGAAAGGAAAATCCTTGATTACTCATGAAGATGACTCTTCAGATGAAGAAAGTGAGAGTGATGAGGACAATCTATCTAACTTTGTGGCATTCCTCGGGGTTATCGAAGAAGAAAATGACGAAGTGATGAATAGTGATGATGAAAAAGTCACTGAGGAGGAATTGTTTGAAGAGATGAACAAATTGGTGAAAATGAATAAACAGCTGATCAGTGAAAAACAACAGTTGGAGAAGGATCTCAGTCGAGTTCAGATGCAACTGACAGACACTCAACAGAAGTTAGCTCAAAAAGAAGAAGCTTCACTTATGAAATGTCAGTTGGAAGGCACTAAGAAGAATCTGCACCTTCTCGGAAATGGAACTGGAAAGCTGGATCACTTACTGGGATTAGGTCGAAACTCTGGAGATCACTCTGGCCTTGGATATCAAGGTAAATCACATTCTGATCTAAAATTTGTGTCTGGGGGAAATTTGAGTCAAGAGCCACCTGCAACCAAACGAAGTAGTACTCACCCACGACAGTTTGTGAGAAAGACTAATTGGAGAGGTCGAGAAAATAGGAGTTGTTATCACTGTGGCAAAGAAAGACATCTCAGACGTAACTGTTTCTATTTGTGGAGAAACAAAGGAATTTCCAGGTATCCACCACCATCCTATGTTTATCCTCCTTGGAATCTCAGGTGGGTTCGTAAATCAGATTTAGCGTGCAATGTGGCATACACTACTGAGCAGAACAACGATACTGGAATCTGGTACTTTGACAGTGGATGTTCCAAGCATATGAATGGTAATCAAGCACTGTTGAAAGGGTTCATTGAAACACCAAGTGGATGGAGTGTTACATTTGGTGATGGGAAACAAGGAAAGATTTTGGGTAAAGGAACACTGGATCATGCTGGGCTACCCAAACTGACTGACGTCAAGGTAGTTCAAGGACTGAAAGCCAACCTCATCAGTATTAGTCAGCTATGTGACAATGGGATGAGAGTGAAATTTACGAAGAATGCTTGCTTCGTGTCTGAT